CCAGCATGCCTGGCTGGGGAATTCTGGGAGTTGAAGTCCACACATCTTAAAGTTGCCAAGGTTGAGAAACACTGTTCTAGAGCTAGAAAAGGTGCAAAAGGAGGGCAACCAAAACAATTAGGCAGCTGGAACAGCTCCTTTAGGAGGAAAGCTACAGCAATTGGGACTCTTCAGCTTGGAATAAAGGAAAGCGAGTGGAGACATAATAGAAGTATATAAAATCATGGATGCTATAGACCAGTGTTTCTTAATTTTTTTTCTCTTAGGACCCTTTCCCATTATGGAGGACCCCCCAAAAGAGCTTTTGCTTCTATTGGGTTATATTGATCAATATTTACTGTACTAAAAATTAAAATTGATGCATTTGCTGCCGCTACTGCTTCTCATGATTGTTTGATGGGATTTTAATATCATATTATTTTTCAACATAGGCTAGCAAATAATTTTGATTTTGCGGACCCCTGAGAGGATCTTGGGAGACCTCCAGGGGTCCTGGGACCACACTTTAGTAAACACTTCTGTAGACACGTGGAGAGAGGAGTTTCTCTCCCTCAGCCAGAAGGAGATATTAGAATTTGAGGATATCTGTTGAAACTAAATGCTAGGAAAGGTTGGTGCATAATGAAACTACAATTTGCTCCCAGTTGTGGTAACAGCAACCAGTCAGATATTTTTTAAAGGTTACTAAGGTTTGGGGAAGATCCAGCTTTCAAAGGCTGCTAATATTGGCATCTATTTGCTGCATCCTGAATCATAGCAGCATGCCTCAAATATTGGAAAACAACAGTAGAAGGGGGCATTGCCCTTAGTCCAGACTTGAATCTCCCCAAAGCATCTTTGTGACATAGAAGGCTGAATGAGAAGGCCTATGATCTGATCCAGCAGAGCTCTTCTTATGGTTTTTATAACTAATCTGGACCTCCCAGATCATACACAGTGTCCAGAATCATTTCAAAAGTTACTGCTGCATTTTAATTTGTAGTGTAACAGGCAGAAGAAGGAAATCATTAAAAACATACAAACATATTAAAGATGTTTAATTAAATAAAATTTAATTAACTTTCAATTTAAATCTCATTTTGGCCCTGGCCCCACCCACTTGTAGCCCTTGTGTTCAATGTAAAAGCCAAATGTGGCTCTTTACTTGAAAAAATATAGAAAACCCCTAGAAACCCCTCCAGTCAGGGATGTCTACAAGAGTGGTCAACAATGTCAAAACTGTAGGAGTGATCAGGTAATTAAAGCCCCATCCCTTTTTAATGGTATGCCATATGCATCATATCCCTCTGCCAGTAATAATTTGGCATTTTCATCAGGGCTGAGGAATCCATGGCCTTCCAGATGCTGCTGAACTACAGCTTCCATGATCAGTGGTAATGCAGCTAAATTATAACAAAAATTAGTCAGCAAAGAGTATCAGGATGACATTGTACAAGTAAAGTGCTGTAAAAGTTTGCAAGGGTTTCACAGTGTTTTAAAATTTAAATAAACAAATTAGAAAGCACCAGGTTACCAGAGTAATTGTACTCACAAGAAGTCAAATTGTAAAATTGATGAACTATTAATTAAAACATGCAATTTAAAATTGGCTTGTGGTAGACTAGGAAGCATCTAATGTAGCACCCATATTAAAAATTATAATTGTTGCTGTATCACATTAACTAACGCAAAGCAATATTCAGTTTAGATTAAAAAAAAAAAACACCCAGGAGCACAACCAGGTTTGCAGAGGAAGAGTTGCCAGAGAGACTTTAGATGCCTTGCTTTATTAGCATTTTTGACGTATTCATTTGGAAGGGTCAACAAATGCTTTCAGAAGGATTACCAGTTGAACGTTGTACATTAATTTTATAATTATTTTTAAGAGAGCTTTTGGCAGTTAGCAATTTTTTTATGGATTAGTCATTGGATAAGGACAAAAAGTCTTGGCTGGGCTCAGAAGCCAAGCAGATCCAGCCTGATTAATACTTGGAATAGCAGGCTGAATTCCAAGGAATCGAAGGAATATCAGGCTCTGTGCGAGATGGGAAGCTGAAAAAGCACATCATGCAAGAAGGAAGTGGCAAACCATTCCCATATTGTTGCCAAGAAACCTTCGTATATGTACCCATGAAGTCACGAGGAGCCAAATTCAGCTAAAAAGTTGTGGCTTTTTATAGCTTATCTATAAAAAGATACGATAGTCATGGTATTTTAATTTTCATAGTACTGATACTTGATTTTCATAATACTGATATTTTCGTAATATTAAGCACAATTAATTATGGAACTAGAGTCTTCATGTTCTGTTCTAAGGTGGGAATTCTTCTGAATATTGAGGGCTGCCATACTCTAGTGCCTTGGAAATCTCCACATTTCATCTCTCTTGGATTGACTAGGCATTCTTTCTGCAATATAACAATGTTTTACAAATTATTTTAAATGTTACTGAAATAATAGTTTATTTGGCTATGTGTAATATAAATGCTGATTACCATTGTGAAGTATTCTTGCTTTCAAATCAAGAAATGACTAATTGCTTTGATCAAGTCCACTAAGATAGTCCACTGAATTAGGCTCTGTTGGCTGGTATAAAACACTAGATATCAAATTAACTTTGATGAGAACTGCTGGCACTGTCATCTGTAGGCGGTCTTGTTTCATTTATCTTCTTTTTTTTAATGAAGTATTTACATGAGAACCACTGATGACACTTTGCTGCATTCTCACATTTTAGAGTACAGTAATAGTTTGGCTAGAGATTGTGTTTGGATCAGTTTTTAAGTATATTACCACACGTTTGCTCTTTTTCAGTTGCATGAGATATATGAACTCCAGTAGGATTGGATCATTCCTAGCTATGAAGACATTTCATACCGGTATATAATACTGTATACTAATCTTGTAGATTCTTATGCACCCTCAATAGCTGGGAGAGATGCCTGCAATGTAAACAGGAAGAATGTTCCTGGGAGATTAGTTAATTAATCTATTTAGAGGCTGAATAACTGGAGAATGCTCAGGGAGACAGGATTAAAAGGCTACTGTGGATGACATGCATGTGTAAAATCCAACATGACAATGAAAAACTAATGAGAATTTGGGACTATGTCACAGAATGAGAAAAGCAACATTATCTTCCATACAGCTTGAAGATGATCCTTAAAGTGTCTTGTTGGATACTGTTGTAGGTAGTGGTCATTTCCAGAGCATTTTGGAAGTAGGGATGCAAAGTAGGACTTTCATCCAAGGTCATTAGTAGATTTCTAATTGCATTTTGAGACTTCTTCATGTTCTGGTCCCCAGTATAGGAGCTCCTTACACCATCTCCAGGATCTATTCCAGTAGATCTCCTATCATCCACATCAACTTTGGAGTGTGCAGATGAGGTAGAGGAATCCATTCCACTTGGGGAGAGAGAGGATTAAAAACAGCTCTCTGAATGAGTGCAAAATGAGTCATGGTTAGATAAAGCATGAAAGATACTAATACTTGTGATAGTAAGAATCTTTTAAGAAAGAAGTCTGCAGTGGCTTTCAGTGAAATAAAATCAGTGAATGAAATTATGTTTGAGGGGTTTTTTTTTATGAAGAAGGAGACTTAGTGTAAAGTATCTTCCAGTGTTTTTGTTAAACATTATGACTTCTGTGGGTTTTTTTTTTTTTTTGGCCTCTCTAGGTCTTTGTCATTTGATGATATATGAATTCTGTATATGAAATATACATCTGTAGCATTCTATTCCTGACATGCTCAAGCATGTAACACTACACACTAAATGTTGATCTGGTAACAAGAGAGGCGTGCTACATCAGGGATTCATTGTCTTTCCTGTTTCCCGATAGGAGGCAGGAGGCAGAAGGGTAGGGAGGAATACAATTGGATCTGTGTGGTCCAGCATTTTTCTACAGTGGCCAAGGAGATGCCACCAGGGAGCTGATGAGGAGCATGTGATGGCAATAGCTCTTTCCCACTGTTTCCTTGCATCTCTAATACAGAACTGTCCCAGAGCATCAAAAGAATCTTTGTGGTGTCTTGAATAACTGCTTAGGAGTCTGACAAAGTGGGTTACCTTTCCTTTTATTCTACAGGCAGTTGCAGTGTTTGAACATTGTTGGGTGAGAAAAAGGCAAGAAGCTGGAGCATAGGAGACAGAAAATGCATCTGTGATGGGTTGTGCAAGGAGAAGACTGGCTGGAGTAATTGGAATGTTAGTAGGAATGTGCTGTCTCTAATTTAGAGCATTCCACTGTTCCAGTCTGTTGCCAGTTCTGCACTGCCAATTTAAGCCATCCTACACAGTGCACCATCTTGTTCAAGTCTAGGTTGACTTGAGGAAGGAGGAAGGAAAGCACATAATGTCATATTGCCTTAGCTTAAAGGAAGTGTATTGCCCAGAGTCCAACTGTGCTTGACATACTTTCATGGAATGAAGTCTGTTGTGATGTGACAGATTTAAGTTATAAAGAAAGTTGAAGAGGAAGCCTTATCTTCTTTTGCAGTTAGTTTGTATCCCTGAAAACTGGTGTGGTATGAAGAAAGATAAGCCCATGGGCTACCCGAGGGAGAGAAAGCTGCTTTTTTTTTTTCCTGGTGAGGCCCTGTTCTTATTTCCTTTTGAGGTTGAATTTCTTGTTTTCCTGTCTCTCGTGAGTGAGATCTCTCCAGAAGAACCCATGAGATGGAAGAGAGCAATTACTGAGCTGAGATCAAACAATGATATTGAAGTCTTACTATCTTATTTGCATGGAGACCAAATAATTAATGGGTGGATGTCATTCCTTGTGTTTTAGGCTTTTTGATTTGGATCCAGATCTCTTGCCCCTTTTCCAGTACAATTGCAAGAAGTTCTCTACTCCTCAAGAGTGCCTCTCATCACCTGAGTTCCTGGAACACATTAGAAAGGTGAGGGCTTATAAAATAAATTACCCCAATTGGTAAAGCTTATATTAGGAGGTAGTACTGCTAGTATAAAGGTGATTCTGATAAATGTAATGGGTATTAATAGTTGATCAGTGTAGATTTATAACTCCAAACTGTAGATCTCATGAGCTTAAAGCCTATGTATTCTTGTCACCCATTCAGCTTCTCATCTTCTTAGAAAAAGATGGGGATTTTAAACATACGATATATATACGTACTTCAGTGTAAGTCTTTTTATCTTGCCCATTGTGATTTATGAAGAAGTTTTACCTAATAATTGTAAATTATAACAGCTTATTTATTTATTTATTTATTTATTTATATGATTAAATGCCTATCACACAGCATTAAACCCCAATGTTACAAACAATGACTCAGGATGCTCAAGGTAAACAATATATCCCAATCATGAAACCACATCAACAGCAGACTTTGCCTAACTTCTTAACCTAAAGCCTGGGGAAACAGCCAGAACTTCAGAGCCTTATGAAAGGCTAACAGGATCAGAGCCATCCAGATGTCTGGGGGGGATGCTGTTCCACGAGGCAGTTGCTGTCGGACAGAAGGCACAACTTCTGGGTCCAACAAGATGGCATTGTTTGTTGGAAGGGACCCAGGACATGGCCTCCCTGATAGATCTGGCGAGTGAGCAGAAACAATGGGAGAAAGGCAGTCTTACAAGCAGCTTGACCCTGTACATGGCTTTATAGATGACAACCAGCATCTTGAGTTGCACCTGAAAGTCTACTAGGAGTCAGGACAGCTCACGGAGCAGCTGTGTTATATGGAGGCATTACTTAATTGGCTTAGGGTGGACATGTACAACTGGGTATCACCAGCATACTGATGATACCGCGCCTCATACTGACAGATGACCTTGCCTAGTGGCTTCATGTAGATGTCAAAGAGGAGTGGCAAGAGGCTGGAGCCCAGAAGCAACCCACAAAACAGGAGCCTCAGGCTCAAACTCTCCCCCCCTAACACCAACTAGAACTGGCCTCGAAGAAAGGAGGAGAACCACCATTACAAAGTGCCTCTCAATCCCCTAAGATGGGCCAGAAGGATACCATGATGAAGATCATCCTCTAAGCACTCACCTCCTTCCCTCCCATTTCCCAGAGGGTTAGGCACCTGGAGCCTCTCCTCTTGTCTAGATTGCATAGGTGGGCAGATTCTACCTAGAGAAGATGGTTCTAAAGGCAACTAGGACCAAGCCATGTAGAACTTTATAGA